TTGGCTGTGAAGCTGTGGGGACCCTCTGGTGGTGGTGCCCTGCTGCACTGCTGCTGTTGTTGTGAAACTGTCCTGAAGGGAACAGAGACAGATTTTAGGGTTTGGGGTGGCCTTGGCCCACAGGAGCAAGCCATTGAGCAGCTAAGGGTAGAAAAATGAGAGAACAAGAAGTGGTCCTCCAGCTTCACCCCTTGTTTGTGGGTTTGTAGAATAAAGTGTTTTTAGTGTGGGGATTGCATTGGATTCAAGGCCCCACAGGGTTGTGCAGGGCCTCATCTTAATTTAGCATTGCCTTCTCTGTCCACATCCCCTTGCCCTCCCTTCAAAATCCTTATGCCAAGTGTCTCTGCCTGTGCTTGGAGAATCATCTGATCCCTCTCTCCTCAGCTTCTTAAATATTTGGATGCTGAAAGAAGCATTTGCATTGGTCTCTGCATAACCACACAGAAAAATCATGGCCACTCTCCAACAGCATCACTCTTGCCTCAGTTTCTCCCATGTATACCAAGGGATTTGAGTGTTCCTCCAAAACAGTTAGAATAACCAGATTTGAAAACAAGCTGCTGCCTGAAATATGAACATATATATATATATATATATATATAGAGAGAGAGAGAGAGAGATGAAAGGGGAGTAAGGCAAAAGGGGTCAAATTTTGAGAGCCTGTATTTTCTATCTTTTAGTCTATGCTTTGAACATTCTCTTGATTTTGGATTTGTTTGACTTCAGAGTGAATCACAATTGTAACAGAACATTGCAATGAATGATTGTTCTTTTTCTACTGTTTGTTTATCCTTAAGAAAGGAATTCATGTTGTGTTAATTCAAATTTTACAATGATTTATTAATACATATAAGCTTCTTCCAATGGTGAAATTTTATAAAAAACTTGATAACCTCAAGAAATACTTGTGTGTTAGCAGTTTGTAATGAGAATGGTATACTACAATATTGTTTCAAATTGCACACATATTAAGCATGTATATATGTATATAAATAATCCACACAATATGAACAAATAATGAATCTGTTTGTATGACAATATTGTTTTATGAGGATTTTATTTTAACTATCTGTATTTCAAATTCTTATACAACACTAAAAAATATATTAATGTTTAGGTTTTAATAAAATTATTGTGATTGGTTTCAAAATTTATTGAAACTTTCAACTGGGAGATAAAAAAAACTATCTATGAACTTCATTAAATTACCACAAAAATAAACACTGATAACGTTTTTAAATATCTTTCAATATAAAAAATTGAAAACACATGAAAAAAGCCTAAAATAATGTAAAGAGTTAATTATAAGGTTTGTGGAAAAAGATTTAGTACAAAAAAGAATGTATAAGTAGACCTTTTGGCACACTATGTTGACATAAATCAACATATATTCTTATGCTTTATTTGAAATGAAGTTTATGCCTTTATGAAGTATATCAATACTCTCTACTGTACATTTTCTTTTATATTTCAAAATAAATGTCCAATTGATCAATACATATTTTTAATAGAAAATAATTTTCAATATATCTAACAAATATTTAGCAACTTCTTTGTAATTATAGTTTTTTTGAAATACATATATTTGATAAAATAATCATAATCATTTTGAGTGCTTATAATGCACATCTTTTTAAAAAAACCATTATATATATACATACATATACATACATATACATACATATATGTGTATTCATTTATGTTTTTTTTTTAAAATTCATATTTGCCATAAAAGAACCACACACATCATAATTACACTAAAAACAACAAATTGGGATAAAAGTTCAGCAATAATTTGAATAAGCTGAACCCATATCGCACTACCAAAAATTGCAAATTTTTAAAGTACCATTTTATTCATATATATATATATATATATATATATACACACACACACACATTTAAACACATATTGTAATTTTAATTATCCTTGATTCAATTTTGTTCCATAGTGATGCTTTTCCCAAACAAGCAATCATCAAACGGACTCTCTTTGATTGGGCACCACAACTAAAAAATAGTCTGATTCCTCTGGAAAAACTCTAACCGAATTGTAAAAGTTACTGTTTAAAAACAGCGAGTCATACCACAATGATGATCATCATGATTATTAACAGTATTTACAAGAAATCTGAACATCAGATGAAATCAACACAGGCTGTGAAGAGGAGGAGGAAGGGTGATATTTCATAAGCCAGAGATCGCAACATACACTCACTGAATTGTAGGGGAAGATAAGTATGGCCTCGGGCAGAGTGGTGGAGGCTGCAGTGCAGTAATGCAGTGCAGCGCAGCACAGTCCCAGTGGGAGGTGGGTGCCAGCGCTGGTCAGTGCGCGTCGTCGAGGAGCAGCTGGGGTGGGTGTCGCGACGCCACCGCGGATCGACGCAAGCGTGGATCCGAGCGTTACCGGCCAGGGATTGGAAAGGGTGTTGTTCTTCTGCTGTGCGTTGTTACTGTGGTGCATTCTAGATTACATCGGCGAGATAGATCCCACCGTGGTGTCGATCTCGATCCTAGGCTGGCCCGGCGCTTGCAGCGTGATGGTCCACTGTGCGCGCAAGACAAACTGAGAGCCAGACAGACAGCGCGAGCTAGAGCGAGAGCGAGAGCGCGGGAAGACTACGTCTAGACTTGTCGGACCAGCGAGTGAGTGAGTGGACTGGTGAAGGCCAGGAAAGAGTGGAAAGGAAAAAAAGGGGCAGGGGAGGGGATGGCCGCGAGTACCATTCCCGTGATGAATATGGGAGGGGGTCAGTATCGTCCCAGCTCACTGATTTAGCTGGTCAAGCAGGCGGGGTCAAAACGTTTCTGCGCACATTGAAATATCCGATCGTAGAACAGTAAGAGTTTTACCTGCAAGGTGGGGTTTTCACGTTGTGCTCCGACTGAACTGGAGGGTGAGTGAGAGAGGGAGAGAGTGAGAGTGATTGATGGAATCAGCTTTATCATCATATTTCCATCGCGGGGGTTCCTTCAGAACTTACATCGAATGTGAGCCTTTCTACCGACTAAGAAGCTGAAACAGAAACAGACCGAGTAGGACAAAGGCAAAATGGGCCAGGGGCTTCTGACCTTGTCCCTAACCACACTAATAGGTATGGACCCCGCCCAGTCACCTACTGCACTAAGCCCTGCAGCAGCGTGGCCGCGGAGTAGGGCCTCTTATAAATGGCGCCACTGGCCGCAGCAAAATACACTCTTGTGTTTTGGACGATTTCTTTCTTAGTCGTCGGGACTTGTTTCGATTCGAGCTTCTAGAGAATGGAAGCTCGCGGTTTTTGCAATTCTTTTCTGGGAGTGCTGTCTTTGAGTTCACTTCCTTCCCATGCCACAGATTGTGCAACCTCTCAATATGTCTCATGAGGTTTAGCTTTGTAGGCCGTTAAGCGTGAATTCTCTTAGCGTTGCGTAGTAGTTTCGGATAATTTCTAAAACTTGAGAGAGCTCTGCGTTCATTGAACTACTGCCGTTTTCCTCTCTGAATACGCGAGCATGTTCCGTTGCGGAAAATTAGTTTTGCGCAACTACCCAGTTGCCGCAGATTTGTAGAACCCGCCGGTTCATAGCCTGCAAAGCGATAGCTGGGTGAATGGTCACAGGATGAAATTTTGGGAAACAAGAGTGCAACTTTTGCATTGCGGTGTGGTCGATTTTGAGCGATCTGCCGGTGCAAGGTTGTGTCGATAAGTTTAACTTACTGAAAGCAATCGTTCGAGATGTTGGGAAAGTAGTGAAAGCCTCGCAATTCTTTTTCTCTCTCTCTCTCTCTCTCTCTCTCTCTCTCTCTCTTTTTTTTCCCCCTGCCACTCTCTTATCGCATTGAAGCTATCAAGGTTCGTAGCATATTGCGGAAACACTGGTTTTGGCAGTGAGTGTCTGGATTTAGATTGCATGAGAATGGTGTGCGTTCTGTAAGCTTGTATTGATCGTTTCTGATTCTGCTTTAGAATTTAATACGTTGTGACCTGTAAGGTCTTGTGTTTTCGAATCTAAATGAACCGCCAGAGCGTACTATGAGCCCAAGAGAGAGAGATATGCTAGTTTTGTGTAGCAATGAATTGGGGTGTGGCCTTGGAGCCGATGAGGCCGACTTTACAATCGGTGCACGGAATCTGGTCGAGATATTAGACTTCATTCTAATTTGAGCGAGGATCATAGTTTCGGTGTGAGAAACTCGCATTGATCCGCAGTTCGATATTGCGGTCGTCCACTGGTTTGACAGGGGTCAAGAAGTTTCGCGGGTAGCGAATTTTATTGTCCCCATTACACTCTGGTCCTCGTTAATCTTTCCTAGTTTTGTTTCAAAGCCTGAACCTGCTTGACCGATCCTGCAACATGATGCATATTTATCCATCGCCTAACCTACTTTCAATTCGTCACTTTCAAAACCCTTGAGTCAGGGCAATCGACCGGTGTTTTCCATAACAATTGGGTTATTAACTCGCTGCTTGGATGTATGTTGCACTTCGAGTTGTTATGAATGACAGTGGCGTAGCGTCAGTTCCAATCGGTTCAAAAGGTATTCTGAACCGATACAACCCCCACACCCTTAGGATTTATTCGTGGGTCTCGTACGTCAGATCCAATCTTTCCGTTAGAGAGAGAAACAACGACTTCCGGACATTGATATTATTCAAAGTGTCAAAGTTTTACTAAAGAGTTGGTGAATCTCGGGTGAAGTTTCCTGATTTAACCCCCCCGACATTGCCAGTTTCCGATGCAGCGAGGTACTACATGTGATTGTAACGATACAACCCAGCAATGGAGTACGTAATGTGGATGACTGGTATTTACATAAGATAACTCGAAATTTCCAGGCTGCAAACTTTCGACGCCTTCAAGATGCTTCACTGCTCATGATGAAAGCATAGGCTGGATAATACAAAAAATTGCTTCGCTACACAGTACATGACGAAGTTTCATTTGATAATACAATTGTTCACTCTTTAAGCGGACGAAAGCTGAATTATCCAGCTTAAAACCCCCCCCCCCCCCCCCCCCCCCCACACGTTGATGCAGAACTTAGACTGCTTGACTTTTCGTGGGATTGCGGAATATGGTCTCACATCGGCATTGGTGATCAAACATCTGCGTCGAAGGGTAACATTCCAGTTGCTGGATCTAATGCATCTAAGAATGTCAATCTGTGTAAGACGTGCAGACATCATGGGGGGATGCTAGATCCGCCTGGCTCCCTGTATGCCAACTGCGAGCCTTGCTAAATATTTGTTTGCCTTGATTCATAGCTGGCGTTCAGGGAGTCAAGCAGACCTTGCGTCTTGCCATGGTCTGCGGTGTACAATAGCATCCGTAAGTATTGATTTTATTCCTAATTTGTCTCAGTCTTTTGTCTAGATGCTTAGTTTCCATGTTGAATGAACATACGGTTTAGTTGTCCATCATGGAAAGATCAGAAATGTCCAAACGATCCCAGAGAAACCCTGACCATGACTATACGATAAAGGATCTTGGATTGGCCTGGCTCCCCAAATGCCAGTAGCAAAGGTTGTTTAAATTTTTTTACCAATTATCATGGCTGGCCTGCAGGAGCCAGGTAGACTATCAGTTTTACCATAACCTGCTCTGCCCTATCCCACACACAGATGGAAGTATTGAGTTGGAAACTACTTCCTTGAAGGTCAAAACAGACCTGCTTCAGAGCACTGACATTGCTACATTCCCACTTCAAACTAGCAAACGCAGCCAGGTAATTACAATATCGAAGAACACGATGTTTCAATCCTTGAATGAAATCCACGAGGCAAGTCCAAACCTGATCATGAATGCAGGAAGAGTGAAGGTCTAGAAATTGGGGGATATTGGATCCGCCTGGCTCCCTGCATGCCACTTGCGAATCTTGCCAAACGTTTTGTCGGGGTTCATGGCTGGCGTGTGGGGGGTCAGACAGGCCATACATCTCATCAAGTTTTGAGTCACTTAGTGATCGTGAATGTTAACGTCATTGTCAAATACGCATCTATAGTCGAATAAGTAGTTCTACCCTGACGTGTTTTATCAATGTATAGCTTGCTGGGGGCTTGATGCTTGCAGAGGCTTTTCTCTTCAGATAATGTTCCTTCATGACAAAAGACAGATAAAAGGACAGCTACAGGAAAGACCAATCAACCAGCAGCTACTCGGAAGAAACTATCAACGAAGCAGCCATTACCAATGTAGCTGGAAGACCGTAGTAAAGAAATAGAAAGACTGGATCGATCTGGCTCCCTGTATGTCAGCTGCAAACCTTGCCAATCGCTTTGCCAGAATTCATACCCTGCGTCAAGGTAGTCAAGCAGACATAATGTCTTGGTACAATATTCCGGGTCTAATTCACGGTTTCATACAGTTCACCTACTGATTCCTTCTAAGATTTGATCACGTAGTTAAGCATCTGAACAGGAGGCCTGTTGAGACATTTGTCGTCGACTAGTAAATCGGTCCTTCTGAAACGGGTCTGCAGACCAACTATGATAATGAATGTAGGAAACCCAGTGCAGAAAGTAGGGATGTTGGATCTGCCTGGCTCCCTGGATGCCACCTGCGAACCTTGCGAATAGTTTCGACAGGATTCAGTGCACTGATGCTCAAAGGCTACGTAATACGTCTAGTTCGTGGCGTATTGCGAAAGAATAGTTGGTGCACCAAGTGTTTGTTTTTGTAAAGAACTCTCTTTGATATGACTTCGGGTTTTCTACAAATGATGAATCACTTGATGGAGTTTTAGGGATCAACGTGGATTACATATCCGTATTTGTATTCATATTCCCTTGAATTATTGTCACTTGCGAAAATCGGATGAGCCATCGAGCTCATACTCTTCCAGCAAACAATCGGTTCACTAATGACGCAATATCAGAATTCCGAGTTAACTTGCTTCAGAACCATGAAGATTTAATCTACCAACTCACTGAAGTATAGAGATAAAATATCGATTTTTAAAGTAGCATTGCAAGTTGCCCAAAACCTCCTTGTTCAATTGAATTTCGTACCTGCTTCAGGAGATTTTGTGCACTGAAGACGAGGAACAATCCTTTGCAGGTCAGAATTGGAACGAAACAAATATTCTGCACGAGGACAACCATTTTTGATAAGTGTGTGAGGATCGGCGTAGAGGGAATGTAGGAAATAGAGAATGCCTGGCATCCTGTATACTACCTTTGGAGATTGCAAGATTTATTTGGCGGCATTCATAGCTGGCACATAGAGAGCCAGGCAATACGTCAAAAAACTTTTCATAACCCCTGCCGCTTGATAACAGTGCTCGTGTTGATGCTTTCTGCTCTGTATCAAGCTTTTGATCCCAACATGATCATCAACTTTAACGAAGAATTAGCAACCTGTGGGTCTTAGAAGGATGCTATGAAGACAAAGATGTAGGTCCAGCTGATCAACGAACCAAGAGAAATGCGCCCGGAAGTACTCGGTCAAGTGATACACATTGTGGAGAAATTTGCATTGTTCGGTCACAGGATATGTCTGATTTTAATTTTCTGTGTATGAAGTTTTAGTATACGTGAACTTCATTGTGTACCTTGACTGCCCTATAACGTTGGGGCCTTTGATAAAATTCAACAGTCACCCTTTTGTACGTCCGGTGTGAGAACCTTCTTGGATAGTGATTCTGATTGATAACACTGAAGAGATCTTAAGCATGATTGAAGCACTTGAACCTGAGAACTCAATCTTTTACTTCTACCATTGTTATGGGCCATCACAATGATCTAGATGTTATGGACGTTACCAAATCTGCCACTCAAACATGTTTCGAACTTGAATGCTGTTAGTAAAGTAGTCGATGACTCCCTTGGTTCAGTACCCTTGTCAGTAGTACATTTAGTGTCGTTATTAAAAAAATGGTAAGACCCATATAAACTTTACTACAAGTTTGTGAATTGCAGCAAAGTTCATGATGGACGTTCAACATGGATACTGCGAGGCTACTCTGTGTTGGTAAAATCGGAAACGTTGATTGCAGTCATGTAATTGGCTGTGGCAGTGGCACCAGTGTAACAATATGTAAGAATTTTACTTGATCTAGAGACGGATATAAATCAACATTCAGCTCACTGTTCTTCGAGATGACTAAACGGTGACTGAGCATTTCATAATCCTTTTCAAGTATGTAAATTCACACATACACACATACATCTAAAACCTTGATTTAAGGAAATTTCCTAAGAATGTGAGGTAGATGTTGGATCTGGAATGGCATAAGAACTGGTGATAATGCCAACGAAGATTCTAATTTGAGCAGTGAGAGAATCTCAGCTTTTCTGAGACCAACTCAGTCGCTTCGTCGCAATGCAAAAATAAATACTTAAATTAATAAATAAAATAAACACCAACAACAATTATCCTGTCAGAAATGCAACTGACGGCGACGACGATGAAGGACTGACTGACTGACTGACTGACGGTGAGGCTGCATAACTGCCCAGCCCTCCCGTGGACAGATCCTTGGAACTGACACCAGCAACAGAAAGCAGAATCACTCACCAGTTGACGAATACAACCTGCAAGGTTCCAAACAGCTACGTTTTAGCTTGTCATTGCTATGAAATGTGATCAGCTAGGGAAGCTCTGGGGGCACGTATTGTGATACGGTATGTAAAGGGGGAGCTTACGGTGCATGTGCGGATCAACGGCGCCATGCAGCCAGAGAATGTCGAAATGGGCGGATCGTGCTAGACGAATCTATTGCCGGGTGGATCTCTGACCTGAAAGACACAAACAAATCTCTCTCTGTCAGTCTACTCTTCTGTTCGAGGAGACTTAGGAACAATCAACTATATACAATTCATGCCCCACTTTATTCCTCTTTAAATTTTCCTATTTGGTCAAGGCTGAGTTTGAAAATATTTGTGAGTTTGTATTAACATTCTTTAAACTTGAAAAAACAAGTCAAAAGTTTGGCTCTAAAATGCCATGGACATTGATAAGAATCACATAAGTTTAAAGAAGAAAAAAAGGTTTGATAGAAGATCCTTTCTTCTATTTTCTTGGTAATAATTATGATTTATTTTGTATGTATTAAAGCCATAATATTTTAGTACCTTCAACTTGAATTTTTAATTTATCTTAATTTTTTATTTTCTAATTAGCAAGAATAATAATTTCTATGTTAAAAGTTACAATTTAAAATTTTTTAATTTTATTATTATCATTTTTATTTTATGAATTTTAATATTATGAATTTCTATACCATTGATTATATTTAATATTTGATTTATCATATATTATTTTATAAAAAAATATATAAATATATAAACTTATATATATATATAATTTGGAAGGATCTAAAATATAAATGTGATTTATATTTTGATTTATAATAGTAATATAAATTTTTATACATATAAAGAAAAAAATACTATTATGAAATAATTAAAAATATAACATTATGTATGCATATATATAGTTTCTTATATCTTATATATTTTTCTACTTAATATAAGTATAGCACAACATAATAGTTTGTTATTTATAATTGTCTTCACAAAAACTTCTAAGAGAAAGCAAGGAAAATGCCTCTAGAATATGCTATGCATTCTATTTGGTAGAATATTCATTTATTCTCTAAACAATCTTTGTGGAATATTGCAACTTTAGTTTTTAGTTAAATAAAAAAAAATTAGTTGAATATAAATAAAAAATATATTTTATATAAATTTATAGACATGTTTGATTTTTTATTTGATTATTCAACATTATATATACAAAAAGTAAAATATAATACATGATTTTATCACATAATTTTAATATCTACATATCCATAAATTAGAAAAAAATTATATTAAATATTATTTTTTTTAAAAAAGAAAATTTATTTATTTTAAGAAAGTAATAATTTTTAAAATATTTAATGTAATTGATTATTGTTATTCTGAAGATTTAAATATCCAATGGTTTTTCGTAATAATACTTTAAATTTATAATTTTTAATAATTTTTTTCTTTAAAATTTTAAAAATAAAGATGTGTAAATATCTTTTTTAATTTTTTTCTGAAACATATTTGTAAAAGAAATATTTTAAAATCATATTATAAAAAATTATACCATTAAATAAAATTATAAATATTTAATATTTTTATCTTATATATCTTTTTAAATATAATAATATTTTAAGTAAATATTCAATTGTAAATATCAATTACCTTATTTTTACTTTTTCTACAAAATTCTAGTTTTATTTATTTTTTATTTCTTGGGCTTTTATTTTGGATGGATAATTTATTGAAATTTTAATTTGAAATATACTAACTCTATTTGAGTTCTGAATTCTTTTTCTTTTTTCTTTTAAGAAAAAAAATTACAAATATAATATTTTTATATATCAACTACTTCTATGAAGCTATTACATATTACTAATTGTTTAATTTCTAAGATAAAATATACAAAAAGAAAATTATTGACAATAAAATAATAAAATAATAGAAGAAATCCAATAAATACATTAAATCAAAACATTCTTTAGGTTTCTAAATAAATTTTGTAATTTAGAAAAGATTAAAATATGATATGAAAAACAAAAATCAATACTTTGACTTAGAATAATATTATTGGTTGGAGTCACTTAAAGTCTAGATGCTATATAATAATATTAAAAAAGATATTTTAGGATCTTTCTTCTAATTATTCTATTAAACATATTTAAAGATGTAAAGTTATCCAATTTATTTAGCAATGATATAAAGCTTGAGCACTGGTTGATATTATGAATTTTTAATTTAAATATTTCTTTGATGGTTGTAATAATTTAAATTATTTATTTTTTAAAATTTAGAATTTTCAAAGAAGTAACATACTCCATTTCACTTCGAAGTATGAAAAAATATGAAAATCCTTTTAAGTCAAGTTCTAATTAATATAGAAATATTAAATCTAGAAATTTTTATAACAAAGTAAAATATCTCAAATATAAGATTTAATTTTTTTTTTTCTAAATATCTTTTTTATTTTTAGAAAGTAGATTTTTTTATTGATTAATTTTTTACATTTACACACACACACACACACACACACACACACATATATATATATATATATATATATATATATATCTATCTAAACATTATACTAAAAGTTAATTCATTAAAAAATAAGAAAAATTTATTTTTCAATTGTGAGTTCATTTTCTATTACCATTCGTTTTGTACATTCTATACTGATGATATTTAAGTAAATTATCTTCTTTGATAATCCATAAAATGGCTTTAGATTCAAGTTTCACACTTTTATTTTTTTATATTCTATTTCAATTTCAACAATTTTTCTATCTACCTCTTTTAATTGATCATAAATTTTTAAAATTCCATCTTTGTGTAAAAGTTATTATTAATAATTGGTATATCAATATATATAATATAATTTTTATATCTTGTTATAATTTATTTTTTAAAATTATTTACTAATAAGTTCAATTTTCTTTTTTTAACATGCTTTTAGAATATATATCATTTTAATAAAAATAACTTATGATTGAAAGAATATTTTTTTCTTCAAATTTTAAGTTTTAAAAGTATATTCTTAATGTAGTCAAAATCTTATAGTCATTAGTTTTTTATTTTATTTTATTTTATTTTTTTATTTCTATATATATTTATTTTTATTTTTTCCAACCTTTGTAAAGATTGCTTTTAATATTCAAAGCTTGCTCTTTAAATTCATATATAAAATTATTAGAAAATATTTATTATTT